TCTTCTGGCTTTTAGGGTGCATCTGTTTTCTATGGCATGCCGCTTTTTCTCTCTCTGCAGCCTCTGTTACAGCTACAGATTTTCAAATGGTGACACTTGCATCTGAAATCCTTCCTTTCCAGAGCTCTGAAGCTGGCTTTGCTTTGCTTTTTGCATTTCCTCCTATGCACTTGGAATGCACAGAAAATATTTCTGTGCCTGTATACATATGTAAACAGATAAATACTTACAGGCATAGGTGCAATTTAAATAATTCCTTAACATCTTCCAAGTATTTATTTTACCTTGATGCTTAGTTTAGATGCATTGCTCGAGAAGTAACCCTTTCCTGTGGTCTGCATTCTTTATTCACTACTTGCTACTGCTTTTTCTTACGTATGGAGTAGAGGTAAGAAAGGTGCCAAAAATGGCAAATGGAAACAGATTTTAGGACTATAGCACTGGCAGTGACTACAGGTCTGCAAGCTGAAAATCTGCATCGGGCATTTCTTACTGTAGCACTCATCCACTGAGAGCAATCTTGAAAGCAGTTAGGGTCTTTCCTTTTTTATCTTCACACTAAAGTGAAAACAATCTTTTGTTTTTTCTTGCATAGGCAATTTCTTAATAGATCTTTTACATTTATTCACGTGTTACCAAGAGGATTGCTTCAGTTATTTTAGAGAAGACATGCTATTAAATCTAAAGCAAAAGGAATCCGATTCACATGCTGTGCTGCAGGAGTCCAAGATGCTCCAATCAGCATGTCAGAAGTCACCCTCCACAGAATACCCTTAACTGGGGTTAGTAATGAGAAGCACGTCTGCCACATGGACAGCCTAGGAGCACCTGAAAGGCTCCAACAGGAGGATTTGAGGGACGCTACTTTGGGCAAGGGCTAAGATGATGGGGCAAAAATCGAACAGGCGCTGTAGTGAGATGGCAGCCTTGCTGAGGCCCAGGAGCACATGCACGAGCTCCCGGGAGAAGTAGTGAACACAGCTGCGTTCTCATAAAATCCATTTTACCTTATACTTCCTTCTGGCAAAGCTACTTTTTTTAATCGGGTTCTTTTCAGATACACAAGATCACTGTGTTAAAGAAGGGAATGCTAATGGCCTGCTACTAACTATGTGCATCTATTTGCTTTATTAGAAAGCCTATCTGCAGACTGACTGGTCCAGATGGGTTACCTAAAGATCTGGAAACCAACTCCCTTCCTTCTAGCTTTTGAAATTCATTAGGATCTCAATGAAACATAACACATGCCAGGTGCTACTAGCAGCCATGCTTCTTGACTTTAAGTAGTATTTCAGAAAAAAAGGAATATAAACATATGAAAAATATCAATATGAAGTACCTTCTAGATGCTTTTTGATCTTTTGAAAATTTTGACACCGCCCTTTTTTGTTTTCCCCTCTGTAAGTTTCATGTTTCTATAGTGCTATGGGACTTGAGCCGAGAGTCAGTCTTGCAGTGGCCTCCATTTCACGTCTAGTATGATGGTCCCCAGGAGGAGCGTGGGCAGGGGATTTTTAAAATCACACAGAATCACAGAAAGGTTGAGGTTGGAAGGGACCTCTAGAGATCATCTAGTCCAACCCCCCTGCTCAACACGTGGCACAGGGTGGCATCCACACAGGTTTGGAAGATCTTCAGAGAAGGAGACTCCACAGCCTCTCTGGGCAGCCTGTTCAAGGCTCTGTCACCCTCACAGGAAAGAAGTTCTTCCTCACATGGAGGTGGAACTTCCTGTGTTTCAATTTGTACCCATTACCCCTTGTTCTGTCAC